AAATACAAAAATTAGCCGGGCGGGGTGGCATATGCCTTTAATCCCAGGTACTCCGGAGGCTGAGGCAGGAGAATAGCTTGAACCAGGGAGTTAGAGGTTACAGTGAGCCGAGATCGCGCCACTGCACTACGGCCTGGTGACAAAGTGAGACTGTGCCTCAAAAAACAAAAATATAGCATCATCACACTTAAAAAAAACCCACTGACTTTTTTCTTTTTCTTTTTATGATTTCTTATTACTGGGTATGTAGTTATGTTCGAATTCTCAAATTGCCTCATAATTTTTTTAGTTGTTTTTTATTCTGTATATCTGCTGCCTTTCTTTTTTTCCTTATAATTTATGTAATAAAGAAACCAGGTCATTTAGCCTGTAGGATCTCCCACTGAAGTTTACTGATTGCATCCCTATGATATCATTTGACATGTACTTCTGACCCCTGCAGTCCCTATAAATTGGAAGTTAGAGCTAGAAACTTAATGAGATTTAGATTCGAGTATTTTGGCAAGAATACTGCATAGTGATGTGTTTTTCCATCAGGAGGCATAAAATGTTTGGTCAGCGCTCTTTTTATGAGGTAAGCAGCCATTGATCATCATTGCCTACATGCATTAATTCATTAATTAATTCATTGCAAAATGGTAGTATTCTGTTTTTATACATTACCTGGAATTATTCTGTAACAAGAAACTTCTCCTCATTGACTATTTCGTTACCCGGAGTGCAGCTTATATTGGAAGGCAGGATACAGGCTTGGTTCTTACCTTTTATTTACCAGTTTTCAGAACAATGAATTAGTTCCTTATGGTTATCCAAAGGTAACCCATGAGGTTTGTTTTCTGTTTTTTAGTATCTTTGTAAATTCATGGATTTACATGTTCAATATATTTCAATTCATAATGGTGATTGTTTTTTACGATCGATTTTGCCATCTTTGAATTAGTTTCTGAGGTTTTTCACATGACTCTGGTAGTCACTGATATCATACTAGAAAGTAAGGAAGTTAGGACATTCCAGGCTCATCTTGTAGATTTTCTGCTGCAGGTCTGCAATCAGCCAGTTCTCCAAGGAGCCCTAGTTCATATTAGTGGGAAATATTTAGGGCCCATAATCTTGGTACTAGGGGTGTTCATTTCCCTGGATTGGTCATTGATTTTAGCCTTTCCCATGCTAGAGCTAGGAAATACATAAATATAAATATATATGTGTATTTATATGTATATACATATATTTATGTACACATAAAATATACATATATATATTTAAAGATAAAATACAACATATATTCATACTGATACTTCCAACTGAAATTCAGTACTACAGGTTTTTTTGATTTTTTTAAACCTAACCTCATCTGTATCTCCTTTCTCCTACATCAGAATTCCTGGTTCTTAAGGATATGAAGATAATTACTAATTTTCTTCCTTTTTAAAAAGTTATTATTACTGTTGTTATTATTATTTGAGGCAGGGTCTTGCTTTGTTGCCCAGACTGGAGTGCAGTGGCACGATCTTAGCTCATTGCAGCCTCAAACATCAGGGCTCAAGTGATCCTCCCATCTCTCAGCCTCCCAAGTAGCTGGAACTACAGGCATGTGCCACCACACCCAGCTAATTTTTATAGAGACAGGGTTTTACCATGTTGCCTAGGCTCATCTGGAACTCCTGGGCTCAAGCAATCTGCCCGCCTTGGCCCCCCAGTGTGCTGGGATTACAGGCATACACCACCACACCTGACCCATTTTCTTTATTCTACAACACGAATATGATCTCATATAATGATTACTTGAATAGAGTTTAAGATTTTTTTATAATTATTTTTTACAGTTCTTTTGTCCTTTGAGTTTATTCCACTAGGGAAAGATATCCTTTATTTTGAAGTCATTCGAAAGAAGTCCCCTTATCAGTTAGGTCAATTTAATTTTGGGAAGGAACCATGTTAAATGTTTTTAAATGTTTCTGCTTTTAGTCCTTATTATATTTCCTTCCACATCTCTAAATAATAAAATTATATTGTACCTTTTCTGAATTTAATTTGTACATTACTATTATTATTATTATTATTATTATTTGAGAAAGGGTCTCACTCCAGTTGCCCAGGCTGGAGTGCATTGCCCTGCTCTTGACTCACTGCAACCTCAACCTTCTGGACTCAGGTGATCCTCCCATCTCAGTCTCCCGTAGCTGCGACTACAGGCATGTTCCACCACTGCTGGCTAATTTTTTTTTTTTTAATTTTGTCAGTAGAGATGGGGTTTCACCATGTTGTCCAGGCTGGTCTCAGGCAATCCACAGCCCTTGGCAACTACCAATCTGTTTTCTGTTTCTATGAAATAGGCTAAGTGCCTGTAACATTATGCTAAATGAAATAAACCAGACATCAGAGATAAGAACTGTATGATTCCATTTATATGGAATATAAATATAAATATAGCATAATGTTTTCAAGGTTCATTCATTTTGTAGCATGTATCAGTACTTCATTCCTTTTTATGCCTGGGTAATAATTATTCCATTGAATGTATATACCACAGTTTATCCACTCATTAGCTGATGGACACATGGGTTATTTTCACCTCTTGAGTATTGTGAACAGTGCTGCTGTGAAAAATATGTACAAGTATTTGTATGAATACATATTTTTGGGTTTTTGGGGGGGCATATATCTAGAAGTAGAATTGCTGGGTCATACAGAAATACTGTGTTAAACTTTTTGAGAAACTCAAAATTGTTTTCTACAGCAGCCACACCATTTTACATTTTCACCACCAATGTACAAGGCTTCAGCTTCTCCACATCCTCACCAACACTTAGTTTTCACTTTTTTTATTACTGCCATCCTAGTGAGTGTGAATTGGTATCTCATCGTGATTTGGATTTGCATTTCCCTAATGACTAATGTTGTTGAGCAACTCTTATGTGCCTGTGGCCATTTGTATATCTTCTTTGGAGAAATGCCTATTTAAGTCTTTTAACTACTTTAAAATTGGATTACTTGTCTTTACTGTTGAGTCAAACAAGTTTTTTACATATTCTGGATACTAGACTCTTATGAGATATGTAATTTCCAAATATTTTCTCCCACTACGGTTCAATTTGCTCTTATTTTTATTGTTGGTGAGTTGAAAGTTGAGGTCATTGATTTGAGCTTTTTTTTCTTTTCCAATATGGGCAATACCTTCTAAGTACTACTTTAGGGCACTCCACAACATTTGATATGTTATATTTTCATTTTCATTCAGTGCAAAATATGTTCTAATTTTCCTTTCAATTTCTTCTTTGACCCATGGGTTATTAGGGTTGTATATTTGGATTCAAAATATTTGGATTTTGGCCAGGCATGGTGGCTCGCGCCTGTAATCCCAGCACTTTGGGAGGCCGAGGGGTGGATCACCTGAGGTGAGGAGTTCTAGACCAGCCTGGCTAACATGGTGAAACTCCGTCTCTACTAAAAATACAAAAAATTAGACTGGGTCACGTGATGGTTGTGTGGCTTGACCTGTAATGTTGATCCCAGCCTACTAGGGAGAACTGATGTAGCTAGAAAGAGAGGGACTAGTGGGTGAACCTGGAGAAGAAGGCAGTGCTGTCCCCCTGGCACTCCCATCTGGGCATAACGCCCAGTAGGCAATATGTCTCCGTCAAAAAAAAAAAAAAATTAGATTTTTCCAAATGTCTTGCTGTTACTGATTTCTAATTTAATTTTATTATAGTTAGAGAACATACTTTGTGTGATTTGAATTGTTTTAGGTTTATTGAGTTTATGGCTCAGAATATGGTCTGCCTCGGTGAATATCTTATGTACACATGAAAAGTATATATATTCTATTTTGGGGTGTTCTACAAATATCAATTAAGTTGGCCAGGTGTGGTGGCTCACACCTGTAATCCCAGCACTTTGGAAGGCTGATGTGGGTGCATCGCTTGAGGCCAGAAGTTTGAGACCAGCCTGGCCAACATGGCAAAACCCTGTCTCTACTAAAGATACAAAAATTAGCTGGGTCTGGTGGCGTGTGCCTGTAGTCTCAGCTACTCGAGAGGCTGAGGCACGAGAATTGCTTGAACCTAGGAGGCAGAGAGGTTGCAGTGAGCCGAGATTGCAACTGCATTTCAGCCTGGGTGACAGAGCAAGACTGTCTTAAAGAAAAAAAAAAAAAAATATATATATATATATATATTTGTGTGTGTGTGTGTATATATGTGTGTATATATATATGTATAAAATCTCAAGATGTTTAATAGTGTTGTTTAGGTCTTCTATATGCTTGCTGAATTTCTCTCTATTTGTGTTATTATGAAAGGGGTTTTGAAACTTCTAACTATAATTGTGGGTGTATCTGTTTCTTCTTGAAGGATTTTCAGTTTTTGTTCATATATTTTGAAGCTCTGTTATTAAGTGCATAAATGTGTAGAATTATGTCCTCTTGATAAATTGGCCCCTTTATCATTATGAAATGACCTTCTCTTTCCACAGTAATATTATTTGCTTTGAAATATTCTTTATATATTCATATAGCTGCTCTAGCTTTCTTTTTTTTGAGGCGGAGTTTTGCTCTTGTTGCCCAGGTTGGAGTGCAATGGCGCAATCTCCGCTCACCGCAATCTCTGCCTCCCGGGTTCAAGTGATTCTCCTGCCTCACACTCCCAAGCTGCTGGGATTACACGCATGCGCTACCACACCTGGCTATTTTTGTATTTTTAGTAGAGACGGGATTTCTCCATGTTGGTCAGGCTGGTCTCGAACTCCCGACCTCAGGTGATCCGCCTGCCTCAGCCTCCCAAAGTGTTGGGATTACAAGCGTGAGCCACCGTGCCCGGTCAAGTTTGTCTTTCATATTGCTATTTGTTTTATATTTATCTGTTCTTTGTTTCATTTTTCTTCATTTTCTGCCTTATTTTGGATTAAGCATTATTATCCCATTTTATGTCCTTTGTTCCCTTATTAGTTATAACTCCTGTTTTTCCTTTTAATGGTTATTTTATTTTAGGATTAAAGTATGTATCTTTTTTTTTCTGTTAAACAAATAATGCTTTATTAATACAAATACCCACAAACTCTAAAGCACTAAGAAATTTAAAATATCTATGTCAGAACAAACAGGTGGCAATTCAACATCCAGAGTCAACAGAATGCTTGAAGGAGACTGCAACAGATTGGATTCCCATGGTGGAGAGGGCATCTTCACAGGTGAAGGGGGGTCTAGCTGAAACAGCTTTTCAAGCTCTCTCTCCTCATCAAGGATCATGAGAGGCACTCCACTCAAGGGGAGATGTGGAATCTGGTGCTCTTCAGGCAGGTCAAAACTCTCAAAGCCTAGAGAACTGAAGGGGAATAATTTTTCTATTTCTGGATAGGCATCATCTGAGGCAGGAACAGAGCTTTTTGCTTTAACAGTCTTCTCAGTCATCTTTTTGGCATAAAAGATTGGCTGTTTTTGTTTGAGGGGTCCATTGGTCTTTACTGACTTTTCTGTAGCTCTGTTGACAGTTCCCAAAGCCTTCCTGGTAGCTTTAGGTAAGGCTGGTAGAACATTGAATGTTTTGCCGAAACGTGGTGTTGAAACTTAAGATCTCCCATCTAAGGCTGTGGTTGAAGGTCCAGACCCCAGCTTCAGCCCATCCTTTGCAGCCACAAGGGTACCTGGTTCTCCATTTTCCTTATCAACATAGATCAGAGTAGCCATTCTGGATTATTGCTGCTCTCAACCAGATTTAAGTATATATCTTTAATTTATTAGAGTCTATCTTCATTTGAATTATACCACATCACTTATAGAATACTTACACTTATAGGATATATCTTACAATAGTATACTTCCATGTCTCTAATGCTAGCTTTTATAATACTGTTGTCATATATTTTACTGATACATTAGATATAAACCCACAATAAGTTATTACTATTTTTGTTTAAAGTTGTTAACTTTTAGAGATTTAAATTATTAAAAAATCAAAATATGTTTACTTCTGTTGTTACTATTTCAAGTGCTCTTCATTTCTTAGTAATTTTCAGAAATCCAGAATAACTTTTCTATATCTGAAGGGCTTCCTTGAATGTTTCTTGTTGTATGAGTCAACTGGTTATGAATTTTTCAGCTTTTTTTTCAGTCTGAAAAAATTTTTATATAGCTTTATATATCTTTGATCTTTATGTATCTTTGATTTTGAAGGATATTTGTGCTAGGTAAAGAATTTTAGGTTGACAAATTTTTTTATTCAGTACGTTATAGATGTTGCTCTACTTCTTGCTTGTAATTTTTTTTTTTTTGAGACGGAATCTTGCTTTGTCACCCAGGCTGGAGTACAGTGGTGCCATCTCAGCTCACTGCAACCTCTGCCCCCCAGGTTCAAGTGATTCTCCTGCCTCAGCCTCCTGAGAAGCTGGAATTACAGGCATGCACCACCACACCCGGCTAATTTTTGTATTTTTAGTAGAGTCGGGGTTTCACCATATTTGCCAGGCTCATCTCAAATTCCTGACCTCAGGTGATCTGCCCGTTGCCCTCCTCCGCCTCCACAAGTGTTGGGATTACAGGCATGAGCCACTGTGCCCGGCCACTTGTACTATTTCTGATGAGAAATATGCTGACATTTTTAACTTTGTTCCTCCGTATATAACATATCTTTTCTTCTGGCTGCTATTAAGACTTTATCACTGGTTTTTAGTACTTTTATTATGATGTGCCTTGGTGTAGTTTTCTTCACGTTTCTAGTGTTTGAATTCATTGCACTTGTCAGATCTGTGAGTTTATAGTTTTCATCTAATTTGGGAATATGTCAGCCATAATTTCTACAAATGCGTTTTCCTATCCCATCCTCCAACACCATCCTTATCTTCTCCTTAAGGGAATCTAATTGCAAGTATATTAGGCTGCTTACATTTTTCCACAGCTCATCGATTCTCTTTACGTTTCTCTTTTTTTTGGTTTTTTGAAACAGAGTCTCACTCTGTTGCCCAGGCTAGAGTGTAGTGGCACAATCTCTGCTCACTGAAACCTCCGCCTCCTGGCTTCAAATGATTCTCGTGCCTCAGACTCCCAAGTAGCTGGGACTACAGGTATGCACCACCATGCCCATCTAATTTTTGTATTTTTAGTAGAGATGGGATTTTGCCATGTTGGCCAGGCTGGTCTTGAACTCCAGGCCTCAAGTGATCCATCTGCCTCAGCCTCTCAAAATGCTGGGATTACAGGTGTGGGTTACTGCACCTGGCCTTAATTCTTTTTTCTATCTACATTTTAGAAAGTTTCTATTGCTGTCTTCAAGTTCACTAATCTTTTCTTCTGTAATGTCTAGTCTTCTGTTAATCCTATCCAGTGTATTTTCCACTTTAGAGATTATTGTTTTCATCTCTAAAAGTCGGATTTAGAAATGTTATACTTTCTTTGTCTCTACTTAACTTTTTGAATATATTACTATTGTTGTTATTATTATTATTATTTTGTAGAGATGGGATCTCCCTATGTTGCCCAAGCTGGTCTTGAACTCCTGAAATAAAGGGATCCTCTTACCTTGTCCTCTCAAAGTGGGATTACAGGCGTGAGCCACCAAGACCTGCCTACATTACCATTATAATAACTGTTTTAATGTCCTAGTCAGCTAATTCTAACATCTATGTCAGTTGCAGGTCAGTTTTAGTGATTACTTTTTTTTTTTTTTTGAGACGGAGTCTCGCTCTATTGCCCAGGCTGGAGTGCAGTGGGGCAATCTCCGCTCACTGCAAGCTCCACCTCCCAGGTTCACGCCATTCTCCTGCCTCAGCCTCCCTAGTATCTGGGACTAAAGGCGCCCACCACCACGCCCAGCTAATTTTTTTGTATTTTCAGTAGAGACAGAGTTTCCCTGTGTTCACCATGATGGTCTTGATCTCCTGACCTCATGATCCGCCCGCCTCAGCCTCACAAAGTGCTGAGGCGTGAGCCACCGCACCCGGCCCCTAGTGATTACTTTTTAATCTCATTATTGGTCATATTTTTCTGTTTCTTTGCATGCCTTGTAATACTGAATGCCACATATTCAATATTGAATGTCAGACATTGTGATTTTTTTCCTTGCTGGATGCTGGATATTTTTCTGTTCTTATAAATATGCCTGGATTTTAATTTGAGATAGAGTTAAATTACGAGGAAATAGTTCATAAATATGCCTGGATTTTAATTTGAGATAGAGGTAAATTACTAGGAAATAGTTCAATCCTTTCAGATCTTACTTCCATATTTTTTTTTTTTTTGGCAGGACTCAAGCAGTATTTATTCTAGGGCTAATTCCCCCCCAGTTTAAGTAAGGTAAGACTCTTCTTAGTATTCTACCTCCATTGAGTTAGGAGCGTTTCTAGTCTACCTGATAGGAACAGTCACTATTCCTGGCCCTCTGTGAGTTTCCAGTGGTATTCTGTCTAATGCTTTCATATGTTTTTTTCTTTGCTGTACTTTTTATAGTTTCTTCACATGCATGCACTGATCCGCATTGTCACATTCTCCGGGAGAACCTTCGGCAGGTCTCTAGGGTTCTCTGTGCACTTAACTTCCTCTTGTACACTGTCTTGTGAACTGTAACCATCTTGTTCTTCCTGGATTCATAGCCGAATCATCTCAACTCAGGGAGTCTGCTGGGCTCTCCTTCATTCCACTTCCTATGTCATGGTGTGTAAGGTATCTGAAAGTAGTAAGCTGTAAACTTTGTTTGCTTAGGAATCATTTTCTTTCACTGCCTGATATCCAGTATCTTGAAAACAGATGTTTTATATATTTTGTCTGGCTCTTTTTCCTTTTTCCTTTTGGTTGGTTGAGGTGGGAGGGCCAATTTGGTCCTTATTACTCCATGTTGGCTGGATTCAGAAGTCCCCTAAGGCTTTACTCTTAATAGTCACTTCACATTTTGAAGAGAGGTAGAGAAGAGTTCCAAGAGTCTATTACCAATAGCCTCTGGTACAACCCACTCTATAGATGAAGTGTGATTATTATTTAGTCTATTTAATACTTCTTAAATCTCTAGAACATTATAAAGGTTTGCTGTGACTAGTGATTTATAGATTGTTTGGGACAGACTTTAGAACTCTGGGGCCTCCCTGAAATGTGCTGTTGACATTTTCAAAACACAAGGGGCCATTGATAGATTGCAAATCAGTTTTTACTCTTACTTGGTAGTCATTCTGCAAACTGGGTTCTGTTTCTATTTTACCATCTGGGTAAGGTTGCAGTTAAGGAAAATTTACTCTCTAAAGACCTTAATGGTACATAGAGCTTGCTAACATAGAGAATTTGCTGTGATTCAAGGGTTTATTTCTAGAACACTGAAAACCTTTCTAGTCCAACTCCAAGAAATGCTGTGTGATTCTTTTTCACTTATTCTTGAGGATTTCTTTGAAATTAAAAGAGGAGCCAGGTGCAGTGGCTCATGCCTGTAATCCCAGCACTTTGGGAGGCTGAGGTGGGCGGATTACGAGGTCAGGAGTTTGAGACCAGCCTGACTAACATGGAGAAACCCCATCTCTACTAAAATAAAATTAGCTGGGCGTGGTGGTGCGTGCCTGTAATCCCAGCTACTTGGGAGGCTAAGGCAGGAGAATCACTTGAACCTGGGAGGCGGAGGTTGCAGCGAGCCGAGCTCGCACCATTGCACTCCAGCCCGGGCAACAAGAGCGAAACTCTTGTCTCAAAAAAAAAAAAAAAAAAAGAGGAAGCTCTCACTATCTTATTTCCATGAAAAAGAAAAGACCAGTGTTTTAGTATTTAGTGAAGGAGAGAGAGGACTTAAGGAAAGTTGAAAATAATCATGGACTGATTAATATATTTTTAAGCATTTACTATGGGTATACCACTTGTTTGGGCAATGAGGTGAAGAAGAGTGAGTAAGTTACTTTTTATTTACCTCCATGAATCTCAAAGACTTAGTCTTCCAAAAAAGTCTTATCATTTACTTTTCCATTTTTATGAATCAGTCACATGTAACTGCCAATCAAAGCATTTGGTTAGCATGAAGTAACTGGTGTTACTTCAGTATCATAATATTTCAGAGAAAAACAGAATCTTGCTGTTATAGATAATCTGAACAGCCAATTATGGATGAATCTATAATTTCTTTCGCCTTCTTAAGATATTGAATTTTTTTTTCTTGAGACGGAAGTCTTGCCTGTGTTGCCCAGGCTGGAGTGCAGTGGCATGATCTCACCTCACTGCAAGCTCCCCTGCGGGTTCACGCCATTCTCCTGCCTCAGCCTCCTGAGTAGCTGGGATCTACAAGACAACACCCCGCCATCAGCGCCGCGCTATTTTTTTTTTTTTTTTTTGTTAGACAGAGTCTCGCTCCTGTCGCCCAGGCTTGGAAGTACAGTGGGGCAATCTCAGCCTCACTGCAAATCTCGTGCCCTCCAGGTCACGCCATTCTCCTGTCTGCCAGCCCTCGAGTAAGCTGGGGACTAACAGGCGCCCTCCACACGCCCGGCTAATTTTTTTTGTATTTTTTTAGTAGAGACGGGGTTATCACCAAATCAGTAGGCCAGGATGATCTCGATCTCCTGACCTTGTGATTAGCCCGCCTCGGCCTCCCAAAGTGCTGGGATTACAGGAATGAGCCACAGCGCCCAGCCTCAAGATATTGAAAACTTTTATTCCTGGTTGACTGGGGCCTGGAGACATCTAGTAAATAGTTTTAAGTTGGCTGGGTGTGGTGGCTCATACCTGTAATCCCAGCACTTTGGGAGGCTGAGGCCAGCAAATCACTTGAGGTCAGAAGTTTGAGATCAGCCTGGCCAACATCATGAAACATCACCTCTAGTAAGAATACAAAAATTAGCCAGGCGTGATAGTGCATTCCTGTAATCCCAGCTACTCGGGAGGCTGAGGCAGCAGAATTGGTTGAGCCTGGGAGGTAGAGGTTGCAGGGAGCCAAGATTGCGCCACTGCACTCTAGCCTGAGTGACAGAGCGAGACTCTGTCTCCAAAAAAAAAGGTTTAAAGTTTAGTTTTAGAGATAAATATTCTTTTTTGTTTGTTTTGAGACAGGCTTTCCCTCTGTCACCCAAGCTGGAGTGCAATGGTGCAATCATGACTCACTGTAGCCTTGACCACCTGGGCTCAAGTGATCTTCTCACTTAAGCCTCATAAGTAGCTGGGACTAATTAGCCAGGGACCATGCCTCGTTAATTTTTTATAGAGATGGGATCTCGCTGTATTGCTGCAGCTACTCTGGAACACCAGGGCTCAAGAAATCCTCCTGTCTTGGCCTCCCAAAGTACTGGGATTACAGGCATGAGCCACTGTGCCCAGCAAGATAAATATTCTTTTTTTTTTTTTTGAGGCAGGGTCTCACTCTGTTGCCCAGGCTGGAGTGCAGTGGCGTAATCTCGGCTCATTGCAGCCTGTACCTTCTAGGGTCAAGCGATCCTCCTATCTCAGCCTCCCAAGTAGCTGGGACTACAGACGTGCACCACTACACCTGACTCATTTTTTTTTTTTTTTTTGAGACAGAGTCTCGCTCTGTTGCCCAGGCTGGAGTGCAGTGGCACGATCTCGGCTCACTGCAAGCTCTGCTTCCTGGGTTCATGCCATTCTCCTGCCTCAGCCTCCTGAGTAGCTGGGACTACAGGTGCCTGCCACCATGCCCGGCTAATTTTTTTGTATTTTTAGTAGAGACGGGGTTTCACCATGTTCACCTGGCTAATTTTTAAATTTTTTTGTAGAGATGGGGTTTCACCATGTTGCTCAGGCTGGTCTCAAACTCCACTCTTGAGCTCAAGTGATCTGCCTGCCTTGGCCTCCCAAAGTGCTGGGATTACAGGTGTGAGCCACCATAACTGGCTTGAGATAAAGATTCTTAATAGCAGAAAACAAAACAAAGTAGCCCTGCTACATGCTAACGTGAGTGGTGCAGATCCTAAGTATTATAGCATTTTATTGCATAGAGACGTCCCTGAGCTGGGCTATTGTAGTCAAGACAGGTAGCTAGGACTGAGAAGAGGGTATTCCAGCTGGGAGGCAGTGGGTTTGCATGTACAGTGGCAGGGATGTTAGCTATAAGTCGTGGATTCTGTACGTTGAGGAGACAGTCTGTCAAACAGCTGAGTACACAAGAGTGAGTTGGAGATTAGGTGGGAAATGTAGGTTAGGATCAGATCAAACACCCTGAGTTCTTTGAATCTGTTCTTTATACAGAGATGGCAGTGAAAATGGAAGAGTCATTGAAGAGACTCTGTAAAGGAGAAAGCCAAGGACCTGGTGACCAAACGTGAGGACTGAGAGGGAAGAGTCAAAGGTTTTGAGTTAGGGCAAGAACGATACAGTATTACCCCCTTAGCCAAGGGGGTACCTTCTAAAACTCCCAGTGGTTCCCTGAAACTGCAGATAGTACTGAACCGCAGTCTAAACTGTTTTTTTCCTATATATACATGCCTACAATAATGTTTACTCTCTAAATTAGGCACAGTAAGAGATTAACTACCATAACTAATAATAAAATACAATTATAACAATATGTCAGCATCACAACTCTTGCACTTTGGGGCCATCATGAAGTAAAATAAGGGTTCCTTGAACACAAGCACTGTGACACCTCTACAGCCGACCTGATGATAGAGATGCCTACTAAGTGACTAGCAGGTGGTTAACATCTGCAGCATGGACAAACTGGACAGAGGGAGGCTTCACATTGAAGGTAGATGGATTGGGATAGCGTGAGATTTTATCACACTGCTCAGAACAGCACACCATTTACAACTTATTGTTTATTTCTAGAATTTTCCATTTAATTTTTTCAGACTGTGGGTCAAAAAAAGAAAAGGGAAACTTGATAAGGGTATGTGTCGGGGACTGGTGTATTATTATTATTACAAACAGGAAAGTCGGAAGGGAGAGGTCGAATGAAGTGATTCCAGAGATCCCTGAAGCTTTTTCTAAAAATTTCCAATTTCTCTGAGTAGCTCCTGACTAGACAATACTTCCCTGCATTCTTTCCCCTCTTCTATGAGTAGAGCCTGGCAGGACAAACTCTAGAGTATGAGAGGGCATTTGGAGCCCATGAGGTCACCAGGCTAAATCCCCTCATTTTACTGATAAGCAAATTGAGGACTTCGGATATTGTGACTTCCCTTTAAGGCTACAGAGCTAGGCTGGCCTCTTGGCATTATTTTCTGAAATTCTTGTAATAAAGGTTACTGTATATCAATCCTGCTTACTGGCAAAGTGAGCCCTTTGTTTCCCTGCCATATTCATTAGTTATATTATTTTTATTTTAGAAACAGGGTCTTGCTATGCAGGTCCAGGCTGGCCTAGAACTCCTGGGCTCAAGTGATTCTCCTGCCTCAGCCCCTGGAGTAGCTGGGACTGTAGGAACTGTGCCCGACTCAGTTATTGGCTTAATGCCTCAGGCCGTTTTTCACCGTCCAGAATCAGATGCATTAATAATTAAAACAAGTCGTTTTGAGGATTCTAGTTTTCCTTTATCTGTACACCGAGACGCAAACCTTAGAGTAGCACACTACGGACATTCATGCCAAACCCGGCCGCGTCTGCTCTCTCGTGATGCGCCTGAACTGTTTGAAGCGAACGGGATTGATTAACAATTTATGAGGGGAATGGGATTAATTAACAATTTAAGCTCGAGGATTCTTACTGGGAGCCGACTCCCCAGGTTTTGAAGTAAAGGATGTGTGGTGGAGACTAGTAAAGGAATTGCTTCCTTTCTTTGCTCCTCTGAATCCCATTCCCAACGACGTCTCACGCCTGGAGCCCTGAATTGGTGTGTGACTCCTACCCCGCCCGAGGAAAATGAGATTATGCCAATGTCTTGAATGAGCGCGGTTGTTTTGAGGTCTACACTTTAGCGGGAACCTGGGGAGAGTGCCTTCTTATTCCCCGACCCCGCCCAAGGCTCTCTTCACTTTCCCCGCGGGGGTCCTCTCGTTTTCTCTCTCCCATCCGCTGGATTCCCGCCTTTCCTCCCCCGCATATTTACTTAAGGCCCAGGGGTTGCACCCCGCCCGCTGCTCCTTCGGGGGCGCGGTCGAAGAGCTCCGAGGGCGGGGCTGATCGAGCCCATATTCGGGCGTGGCCGGCGGTGATTGGTGAGGGCGGGGCCTGCCGCAGGGGGCGGGGCCTACAGGTTTGGCCCCCGCAGGGAGCGCAGTTGGCGCCGCTGGGAGGTGGTGGCACGACGCAGGTCCTGGCCGAGTGTGGCGCAGCAGTGGCGGTGCTTCCCGTTCGCCACGCGCCGGGGGTGGGTCCCCGAAGGTAAGCGTGTGGCTCATCGAGCTTGCGCGAGGAAGCCTGGCGGAGAACAGCCCGGGCACTGCGTGGGCCAGGTGGAGGGACCCCGGGGGCGCGGGAGGCAGGTGTGGTGTGACGGGCCCCAGTGCCGTTTCCGCGCCCATCAGGAGCGCGGGGCGGGGCGCGCGGGCGGCCCCTCCTGTGAACCCCTGAGAGGAGACGCCGGTTCCACACCCAGGCATGCTGCGGCTTCGCAGCACTCATTCACTGCACTTGGTCCGAGACAGGAAATGTTTGAGTTGTTCCACACACATCCCCTCTAAATGTCGAGAAGTCCCAGGTACTGTCAAGTTTGTATATCTTTAAAATATATTTACAGTTTGTGGTTCAGGACAGGAGGAGAAACCCGATAGTGAGTTTGCCGTGGGGCTTTACTTTTACTTTGTGTTATTCAGTTTGTAAGGAAGGTGTAGTAGAAACGGAACGGTTACTTAAACATGGACAGCAGGGGTTACATAGGGAGTGTATCTTGTAGATGAAGCACGCAGACTTTGGAGCTGGAGTCATGGTTTTGAATCTGTTTATTAACTGAGAAAACTTGGGCAATTTGGTTAGCTTTTCTATGCCTTAGTTTTAGCGTATGTAAAATGGAGATAATGATAGTTCCAAACTTACAGCAGTTTTTGAAGATTAAATGAGTTAATACCTGGCTCATAGTCCACAATAAACTTTGGCTGTTTTCTTTATTATGCATTCAGATGAGCATTAATGTCAAGAATTGCCATCACCAGATATACGTGCTTTCTTTCCTCAGAGCTGTTGCTAGAAATGCTTGGGGATTCCTTTGGAACAGTTTTCTTAGACCAAGTTTCACAAGAAAAGGTCTCTTTTCTTTCACTAGGGGTGTTACCTGATGTGATCATTCACCTTGTTCCAAATCACATCCACAGAAACCTTAGAGTCTTGAAGGCTGTTCTAAAACAGGGATGAAAAAAGAGGCAGCGCCTTTACGGTGAATGTAGCCTCATTTTAAGCACCAAGTTCAGGCGGGTTTATTTAAAAGCAGTTCATATCGCTTTATACAGAACATTTAAGTTGTGTTATTTTGGGTGGATGCTTATTTGTACTATTATTGCAAACCTAAGTAAAACAGAGCACCCCCAATACATAAATAAACATCATAGGAACCGTAGCTTGCTGCAGGGAATCTCAGAATTGAAAGGAATCTGAAAAATCAGACCAGCTGGTCTTTACAGATAAGGATGAGGCCAGAGACTCAGAACCAATAAATGGCGGAGCTTAGGCTAGAATTCAGCTCTGCTGATCAACAAAGTATAAAATCAAATGATGATATTATTTCTAGTTTTGATGATAGTTACTATCTTTATTTTTGACAGTTTTATGGTGCTGTGAATGGCTTTCCTCTCCAGCAGTATCCTGCTTGGTAGCTTAATTGCATGATTCATAATCTTTCTTCAGTACCTTTGATTTAAATCACAAGTCTCAAAGTTGCTACATTAATTATTGCTTTGAGAACAAGATGATTGTCTTCTTAAGCTTTGTACAAACATGTTCTAATGTGCTTTGGTTTTGTCCTTTTAAAATGCAGTCCTCTTCTCCCATGTAGGGAATGTAAACAGCCAGTATAAACAAATTGACCCACTAGGCAGTTTTTTATCGCCGTTTTATTGGTGAAGTTTTCTTGATTGGGTAGGATAGAGTCAGGAAGTGGAACCCTGAATGCTCGCCCAAGGATATAGGACTGGGTCCTAAAGAGGTATGTCGCAATGTGGCTGCTAACTTCAAAAGCATTGTGGAGTGAAATTATTTTAAGCTATTGTTTTGTTAGTTGCTGACTCTTCCCCAGCTCTTTGTATAGCTCATTCCTTCACCTCTGGGTGTTTGTTTAGATGTTACCTTCCTATTTAAAATTACATACAACACCACACTTATATATTGACCTGTTTATTTACTTATTCATTATCTGTTGTCTGACGAGCCTAAGTTCCATGTGGGTAAAGTTGTTTGCCAGTTGTGTTCACTGTTGTGTCCTAAATGCTTGAAAATAGTGCCCGGCACACAGAGGTACCGAATTCGTGGATCTGATGCGGACATTTCCAACAAGACTAGTAATTAGTTAAGCTAATTCACTGTCATTTTGCCCTATTTTCCCTTCCCTCCATTTTATTTATTCCTAGTTACCCAGGAATAACATCTTGAGGCAATGTTAATTCTTTCTTTTACCTTTGTACCCCACATGCAAATGCTACCAAGTTATTTCATCTGTCACTTTTTTTTTTTTGCAAACCTGCCTCTCCTGTTGTTGCCAAGCCCATTTCTTCATTCCCTTCCATTTGACACCTACAGCACTGCAGTTCCCTTTTCAATGCCTTCACATCCTTACCTGCAGAATGAAATCCAGAGTGAAAAACCTGACATTCAGAATTCCCTCCAACATGATTTCAACCCCACTTTTACAGTCTGTATCTCCTATAGATGAAGAGAGTGAGTTCCAGTTTAGATTTGTAAATATGACAGTAGAATAAGGCTTTAATGGTGATGCCCTATAAAATCCCAAGATGAGTGTTGCTTCATGACAGTTTCTCTTTCTGTTTTTATTGATGAGTTGATCTTTTTCTCCGACGTGGGCGGGGATTTAGACATAGTGGACTAGTGGCTGTTCCCTGTTTCTAGTGAGAACTTCTGCTGCCCTTTCTGTTTTGAGTTCCCATTCTTCAAACCCCCCTCACATGCAGCCCCTGCCACCCCCTACCAAATATCTAGGTAAGTTCAGTTGGAAGTGGCTTTTTCTTCCTCTGAGTGCTGGTGACTTTCGTGGAGAATTTAGCACAGTCTACTTTGAATTCGAAATCTTAGGGCATTGGTCTTTTCTTTATTGCTTCATGTCCTGGAGGACAAGAAGCATGCACACACACATTTCAGTTTCTTTTAAAGGAAAAATAAGACCCACACCTACTTATCTGCTTCTTTTTTTTTTTTTTTTTTTTTTGAGATGGAGTCTTCACTCTGTCGCACAGACTGGAGTGCAGTGGTGCGATCTCAGCACTCTGCTCCCTCTGCCTGCCGGGTTCATGCCATTCTCCTGCCGCAGCCTCCCGAGTAGCTGGGACTACAGGTGCCCGCCACCACGCCCGGCTAATTTTTTGTATTTTTAGTAGAGGCAGGGTTTCACCGTGTTAGCCAGGATGTTCTCGATCTCCTGACCTCATGATCCTTCCACCTCAGCCTTCCAAAGTGTTGGGATTACAGGCGTGAGCCACCGCGCCCAGCCTCTTAACTTTTTTAAATAAACATGAACTTAAAATTATATCAAACAGAACTTTAAATCGTTAAATATTGAGCTTCAACAATTATTTCTACAGTATAGACAAATGAAGAAGATAACAAGGAAAATGTCAGTACTAAGTAAAAAGATTCAAATGAAGACACTGAGGTCTGGATTTATAGAGGGGAGTGGGTGTAGGGAGAGCAGCATATCCAAAACGCATGTGGATGGACAGGCAGATGTTTTTAAAAGTACACAGTAAATTCGGAAAACCATCAGGAGAGGACAACTTTATGGAGCAGTATCTGCAGCTTAGGATTTTGTGGAGTCTTATTCCTAAAATATATTTTGTTTTTTTAATCTCTAGGCACATGTAATACTGTTTCTTTGCTTTGTTTCTGTACAAGATAGGACTGAAGATTCTCTTTCTCTCTGGTCTGCAGAAAGTAATTTACTTTCTTTCCTTTCATTGTTTGATCTTAAAAAAAAAGTTCATACCTTTTTCCTGATTGTCCTGGATATGTGGAGAAAGGTATATATGCCAGAAGTTTTTAGTCCTTCAGAAAAAGGTGGTAGATATGAGATACTTGAATTTACTATTGTCGAAGTTTACAATTTTACTAAGTTTGATATCAGCATTTAACACATTTTGCGGAATTTTATATTACAAGCATATCCTTGCACATATTCCAGTTGAGTCAATGATTTTATTTTACTTGTGACTCTTTCAGATTAAAACGTTATTCAAGAGCTTGTGTAAATGTTTCTGTCACTTAATTTTATCTTTTCTCCTGTGGCCTTCCAAACCTCAACTGAAGTTTTTCCATTCTAGGGCATACATTAACTTGTTTTCATTCAGGTGCTTATAGATATAGGTCTAAATTTATTTTACTATTCCTAGTATGAAGCAGCAGTTTCTATTGTTAGATGGGGGGGCAATATATATATACACATTTTATATATATACATTTTATACATACACACATTTTATACATATGTATGTATAAAAGTAGGGATATATATATGCCCTAATTTTTGAAATGTTAAAATATTAAAGTAAAATTCTGCATGTTGTCTTTACTAATAACAAATAGCCACTGTAAGGTCAGGATTTGAAATTAAGTAGTGTAATTTAAATAAGTATTATAATTTAAATATGTAATTGGTTGTAATTTTTGTGCTTTGGGAAGTTTTTAGTAATGTGATAATAGTTTTAGTGTCAGAAGAATTTGGAAAGCAAATGTTTACTTTAGAGTAAAGTTTCCTTTATCACACTGCATAAGCATCTGTGTTTATCCTGAGATCTCCTTGATTTTATAAAGCCTTAGTTAAGTGTATTATCAGATAGAATCATTCATAAAAATAATAAAAGATGCTGATATACCCCCAGCACATGGTAAATACTACGTAAGTATCATTAAATAGTAAATCTATATTTTAAAGGAGGATTTTATTAAGATATAGCATATTAGTACATATTGGGAGTGATCCAGTGAAGAGGCAGAAATTGATGATTCAGGAGACTGATGAAGGAATAATGAGGCATTGGTCACTGAAGATTTCACTAGCACACTTTGGCAAGTTGGAATTTCTAAATGTCTCTCTCCACCTGTTTAATAAATCAATGAAAGGTTTTATTAGGGCCTCCTAAGTGTATGGCAGTCAATAAGTCACAGTCCCTACACCCTAGTCAGGGAGGCTCTCAATAAGCAAGCAACTGCAGTCCTAGTTGCAATCC